TATATATATATATATATATATATATATATATATATATATATATATTATATATTATATTTTAGGCTTTTCACATGCGTTACCTCGTATGTGTGTGGCGGCTAAACCTCGTTTTTTTATACGACGAAGAGTTAGAGTTGCGTTAAGATTACGCGAGGCAGATCCTCGTGCTATTATCCGAATTTCGATCGAGGTAGTCTGCATTAGTGTCGCCGTCAGGTCGTAACGTTGCCCTCGCGGTGGTGTCCTCCCTCGATTCGTCGCCGTTATCGATCGCGGCGGTGGCGGCGGCCGAAGAATTCGGGGTGCCGGACGGGGGACGTGTCAGTTTCTTTGCGGTTTTATTACACGGCTCGCCGGAGGTGGCAATTTGTTGAAGCCCGCGTTGTCAAAGACCGGAAGTAGGTCCCTCACTCTTTGTCCCGTGCCGATAGACGCCAGGTCGATCCATCTGCAATAGCGAAACACGTGAAAGGGGCTCTTCCTCTCCTTTCTCCCCAAACATTTTTTTCTAAAGAGACCCGTTTCCTCCTAATACCCGCAAACCTTTTGTATTTTATTGGCAATGTTCCATTAAAGATATTACGACAAAGTAGAAGAGCGGATCGCGTAACGGCGCCATCATCGTTTTATTTCTCTTTTCAGAGCAGATTGCATTTTAAGCTAGTAGCAATTATTCCGCCTTTTTGAATGTTTTGAAACGTGTTGACAAATGGCCGACTTTCATCGCGCAATTATAGTTGTTGTGTGCATTGGATTGAAATTTATTTAATTTTCGCAAACGAGGATATCGATTATATTTATCGATATTATATTAAAAACTAATTATATAATATATATAAAACTCTCTCGAAATTGTCGAAAAACATTAAATTAAGAAAGGATATATTTGATAAGTTGTTCATATCAAAAGTCACCTTTAATTTGCATTCGTCCCTATTAACAATAGCCGATCCAGCCTACAATTCGAAAGTAACGTCCGTTTAAACAACCACTGCGATTACACTCGAATTGTCGAGTGCAATTTCGAGGCAACGATAGTTAATAAATATGAAACAATAAATATTGGCCGAAACGATATCGACGTTGCGCGTAATTTTTAACACCGCCGCCCGAATTTGTCGGCCAATGAATCACGCGCGGCTCGCGTCGCACGAGCGAGCATGCACGAACGAATTCACTTCCCACCTGTTGTTTTTGTATTTTGCGAGGGGTTGAGCGGCTGGATGGGGCGTTTCGGTGGGGAAATATGTGGCCCCATAAAAATCCAAACCACGGCTCAGCAGCATCGAGGTCTCCTCCACGCTGGCCAAGGTAACCCTTATAACGGGTGGCCCCGTATAAATCGTCGCCGGCTCGTTCAGATTCTGCGCGTCGCTCTTTAGCTTGTCATTGATGGCCTTCACTGATTTATTTAACACACGACTTTATTGCACGCGTTGCAGAAAGGCAGGCAGCTGGGCGCGTCACGCGTCGCGGAAAGTAATAGCGCGTTTTTTTTTTTTTATAAATACGCATGCATACAAAGTGCGTTATACGCAGATATACGAAATACAAAATTAATTTCAAAATTTATGGTTTAAATTCTCCTTTTTCAAATTTATCGTTAAAATTTATTTCACAAAAATTACACGAAAGATATAACTGCTCGAGATATTGAATAACATATATCAATACGATAATCAGGTATCTCTCACGAAAAATAAAAATTTGTTATTGAGATTAGTATCTTAAATTATATACATAAAATATATTTAGTATGTAAAAAAATAAAATATAAGCGAAAATCTCGTTGAGATTGTAAAAGGGGAGGCAAGTATCTGCCGCGTTACATGCGTGGGGGAGTTTCCCCCCCTTCCCCCTCCCCCCTCCCCGGAAAGAACGACGTTATGATGAGAAATATGGAGAGGAAGCATTTGCATTTTCGTGACTCACAAACAGTTCCCGTATTCAGGGGTAGCCTGGTTACTTCGACGATAGATCGATATTTGTAGAGAGCGTGTCTAATATCGTCCTCCGGCAGCTCTTCGGGCACATCTAGAACGTAGACCGTGAAGATCTTCGCCGGTCTGCAGGGTATAGCGACCTATATATTACGAATATCACAATGCATATTATTATTTATTCCGCGAGAAAAGAGATTAAAAATTGTATAGAGTTTCGAGATATATCTCAGAGGATAGAGGTACAAAGGGAGCATGCAGATCTCGAGAATAAAGAAAATATTCAGCTTTGGCTTTAAGTCACGTAATAATCAGATTCAACGTCGGCAACTCGCCACGGCGAGCCGTCGCTCGAGCAAATTACTGTCAAAATATTTTCGTTGCGGGAGCAACCCTTTGTACCCTTGTTGCGTATCTGCAACATGTATTTGTGCCACGAGAGAGGGTAGAATCTATGCAGATCCCGAGATTAGTTGCGGAAGCGCTATAAGGTATTTCTCTGTGTCAGGTGCTTTAGCTTTAGTAAGGTTTCTCGAGTACAACCGCGCAGCATAACCGTGCAACACTTTACTCCCGTAAAATCTAAAAACAGTAATACGCGTTAAATTATTTCGTAACGTCGAAATTACTTTGCCAGCCGCCCTCTCCCACGGTTATTTATCGGGCAAAACGGGACATTTCCATTTTGACTCCATGAATACAGAGCTAATTGAACCGTGGAAAAATACGTTGCTGCGGAATATATCTACCTTTTTGTAGAAACGAGCACCCGTCACTTTGTGAAAGCCTTTTTTATACACCGCCTGAAAGTCCTCGATGTTGCTGAACTTGAAGAGAATGCCGGTGGCGGTTTTCGTCAAAGAAAATGCACCTCTAGATCACATAATACAAAATTCGCTTTTACTCGCTTTCCACCAGAATATAATAAGTTAATAGGAGAAACATATTAACGCGACGCGATATGAAAGTTTTTTATATTTACACGGTTGAATAATATCGTGATTAAAAAGTTAATTCGTTCTGCGTAGCCTTGATATTAAGTGTGAATTAATTTCTGCCAGTGCCATGCACGTGAACTCATTGCCGATGCGCAAAACGCTCGCACACAGCAGCTCGGACGCAGTTGGTTTAATGGATTTGTTGCCCGACCTGTTACTGCCTTTACTACTTCACGCGACGTGCCAGCTGACTTAACTACTTTCAGATCCGATTCGGGCACGAAGCACTTTAGGATCTCTTGCGGATTAAGCTAAGTGAATGCCGAAGTAATCTCGTAGACGACGATACACTGCCGACGCGAATGCCACAAGTCAGGAAGAATAAAAATTTTATCTAAATTAATACAAATATTTTGATGTTATATGAGATATATTAACTTGTCTTTAATGAACTAATGAAAAGTGACATAGCTAATTTTATTTTAATTAAAATAGCTAATTTTTATAAATATAAATATATAGACGGTATGTACACTGCCGATGCGAATGCCACAAGTTAGTAAGAGTAAAATTTTTGCCTAAATTAATTATAAATATTATCGTTATATAAGGTAACGTGTTTTTAATAAACTAAAAAGTGATAAAATAGTTAATTTTTAAATATAAATATCTAAATGATACATTGCCGAATACCACAAATCAATAAGAATAAAAATTGCACAATTGCAAAATTAATATAAATGTCTGGATGTTATATAAGATACAACTTGTCTTTACACTTAATAAATCATAATAAAAAGTGATATAAAATATCTAATTTTTTTGTAATTATAAATATTGATAATATTTTTTAAATATGAAAAATATAATTTGTTTCAACAACCGTTCTTGTTTTATATATAAAATCAGAGGAAGGTTAAAAAAATAACTTTCACATCGGAACAGAATCGTTTATATTCATCATATCTCGATCAATGCAAAGAGTATTGTTGTACAAAATTATACGTTTGAAATATACGGTCCTCAAATTTTACGAATAGAAAACACGTGGTATCCTCCTGTGATAAACGATAAACTTGTTGAACACAATTGG